CAACAGTGCTGCTGCCAAGCAGTTAGACATGTTCTGCAAAACACATGGAGTTGCTGCAAATCAGGTATAAAAGCATTGCTGCAAAGCAGGTGCAAAAGCAATGCTGCAAAGCACATGCAGTTGCAAAGCATAGCTGAGCACATACAAGTGAGCATGTTTTTTGAATAGCTAAAAAGTCCACATGACATGTATTGGGTAATTTTGCAATTTCAATCATCAAAACCATGACAGTTGCAATATGCCTGACACTGACAGGTGCAAGCGGGGGGTCTTGTCCATGCTGCAGTGGAACCTTGCTGGAACCTGAGCACACTTCAGTCGTGTGTCGTCTGAGCACACTTGCTTCAGAGCAACCACAATGACACTGTGGCAAAGCAAGCACAATGATGGCAGACCTGGTACCTGAGCACATGAATGTAATGCAGTAATTCTTGAGTCTTAAGCTAGCTAAGGATCAATTGCTGATGGGCATTTGGGTCTGTCTCAGCATGAAATTGTGCCATTCAACGAGTAGACACCTCAATGCTGCTGGTGGAAAAAAGAGAGGTGTTTGCAAGCCAGAATGTTCTATGTCAAGTCTGTGAAAATCATGTTGTCAGTGATGTTCCAAACAAAGGCCAACATTGATCACAATTTGTTTTATGAAGACGATTAGTTTCAAAGAAATTGACTAGTGTAAAAAGAGTTATATAATTAGGTCTGAGTCTACAAACTTGAATTTCTCAGTGATGTTGTTCAAACAACAACCCACATTTGTTCACCCATTGTTTCATGGAAAGAAACTTTAAATTGTTCAATGGAAAATAATGCTGACCAGGCTCAGGCTAAAAGGAGCCAAGTCTCTGGACTGCATATTCTCAGTGTCTCTGGGTCTCATTTTCTTTCTTTTCTAGGAAAAAAAAGCCAACAGTTTTTCTTAAATCTTTTTTAAAGAAACTAAAATGTTCAAAGAAAGAAACACTAACCATTGGGAAAAAAGAATCAAGTCTCTGGACCTCATTTTCTCAGTGATGAAATTCAAAAAATATCTTTTTCACAGAGCAGTTTCATGAAAAATATGAGATTCCAGAAGGACACTGCCAGTGCCAAGTCTCTGAACCCCATTTTCTCTGTGATGAAGTCTAAAACACAGAGAAAATGTGTCTTTTTCACAGAGCAGTTTCATAAAAAATATGAGATTCCAGCAGGACACTGCCAGTGCCAAGTCTCTGAAACCCATTTTCTCTGTGATGAAGTTTTAAAAAACACAAAGAAAACTTTTTTTTTCTCACAGACCAGTTTCATGAAAAATATGAGATTCTGGGAGGACACTGCCAGTGCCAAGTCTCTGAACCTCATTATCATTGTACAATTGCTGCTGAACACATCCAGCTATTTTTTTAAAATCATATTTTCATTAAGATAATGAGGTTTGAAGACTTGGCACTGGCAGTGTCCACCAGTGCCAAGTCTCTGAACCTCATTATCTTTGTACAGTTGCTGCTGAACACATCCAGCTATTTTTTTACAAACAGATTTTCATTAAGATAATGAGGTTCGAAGACTTGGCACTAGCAGTGTCCACCAGTGCCAAGTCTCTCAACCTCATTATCTTTTTACAGTTGCTGCTGAACACATCCAGCTATTTTTTTACAAACAAATTTTCATTAAGATAATGAGGTTCGAAGACTTGGCACTAGCAGTGTCCACCAGTGCCAAGTCTCTCAACCTCATTATCTTTTTACAGTTGCTGCTGAACACATCCAGCTATTTTTTTACAAACAGATTTTCATTAAGATAATGAGGTTCGAAGACTTGGCACTAGCAGTGTCCACCAGTGCCAAGTCTCTCAACCTCATTATCTTTTTACAGTTGCTGCTGAACACATCCAGCTATTTTTTTACAAACAGATTTTCATTAAGATAATGAGGTTCGAAGACTTGGCACTGGCAGTGTCCACCAGTGCCAAGTCTCTGAACCTCATTATCTTTGTACAGTTGCTGCTGAACACATCCAGCTATTTTTTTTACAAACAGATTTTCATTAAGATAATGAGGTTCAAAGACTTGGCACTGGCAGTGTCCACCAGTGCCAAGTCTCTGAACCTCATTATCTTAGTGATGTCAAGTGGTTAGGCCAAGTCTGAGGAGGTGACTTTTGACCTCTAGACTTGGCACTGGCAGTGTGTGCCAGTGCCAAGTCTCTAAATTCCATCAAAGTAGCTTACCAAGTCTGTAGGTCTCTCTTCTAACCCTGAACATTTGGTAAGCTATTTTGATGTAACTTAGAGACTTGGCACTGGCAGGCACTGCCAGTGCCAAGTCTAGAGGGTTGACTCTGTGTTGCAACTCTTGGCACTAGTACTTGAGATCATTATGCCTCCACAGGTTTGCGGCTCAAAAGCTTATTGCTCCTAGGCTGCTTCACTTCATTTTCGACTATGGCTGCCAGCCGTCAGTCACCAGATGTCAAGCAGGTCTGTGACCGTATCATGCAATGGGCCATCGACAAGTTCACTGGCTCAGGGAACCCTGAGGTGGATGACGCAGTTGATTGCTGTTTGATGCTCAGATCATGGTCTTGTCTGTGACAGCATGTGCATCAAGCACAAGGTCTGATGTCAAAAAAATGTTACATTGTTGACTCAAGGTTCATTGTTAGCTAAAGCATCCATGAGATGAGTCCACTAAGGTCCCTATCTTGAGGACCAGTTTGGAAGTCATCATGGCGAGTTTCAGAGTGCTTTGAATGACCTGATGATCAGGCTTGAGAGGCTTGTTCCACGCTTCAGGTTTGAGAGGCATGCTGCAGCAACAGTTGTGCCAGCACCATCACTGGATTCCACTTCGGAAGAGGTGTGGTTGCAGCCATGGCACCTTGGCCTATCAGAACATAGCTTCAAGGGCCCTGCAAAGGCTGTGTTTGTTCTGAAGGTCCTGCGAGAATTTCTTGACACTCCCTATGACAGCAAGATGAACCCGATACAAGTGAGCTTCAACAAGTTGTGTCCTGGTGCGGGCATTGCACCTTTGTCTGTGAGCATCACAAACGGATTTACCAAGAGTGTGGCAATGAAGATTCTCCTCATTGCTGTCATTGAGTTGAATCTGTCAGATGGAGATATGATCCTGGCAGCTCCATTTCTGAGAGCCTGCTATGGTTTCCGATGTATCCACAAGACGTCCGGTGACCAGAAGACTGATCAGTTCAATTGTTTGGCAGAAAAGTTCAGTGAATCCTCAAGACCTCGGCCAGACCCAATTCAGGTTGCCTTCATGTTCAAGCAAATCCTTGCTCAGGCTGGTCAGACATGGAATGAAGGCATCGATGGTCTCATCCAGGACTTCAATGGTGGGAATTCGTCAGACCACAAAAAGATCTCACCGCTTGAGGCTGCTGTCATCAAGATGTTTCCAACCCTCCTGCCGGAAACCCAAGAGCTCATCACCTACCATTGGGGAAATTTCCAAGCCAAACAGTCTGGCCTGACACTGACAATGCTGGGCACTGACTTGCTTCGATCCTAAGCTTGCACTTAGAAAGATTAAACAATTGTTCAAAATACATCACTTTGAAAAAATAACATATGGTTCAAAAGCATCTTATAAATCAATCTGATTTGCTCATGGATGCCTTCTGGACCAGGAAATGGCTCCAAACCACGTGCTGCAGATGATGCCCTTTGGAAGACGATCTTTGCCCCAAATGAACACAAACGACACTGGTGGATTGCAAGGCGAGTCAGGTTCTTCCTGCACAAGTTGTCTGAGGCAAAGCGCCTTCGCAAGAAGGTAAACTTGGTCTCAGGGATCCAACAACTCCGTGACCCTCGACCTGATCATGAGGCCTGGGAGATGAGTTGTGTCTACAGCCACTTTAGGCCCATGTTTGAGAAGCTGCTCACCCAAGATCAGCTGGGGGCTGTGGACCAGAAGTTCATTCGTGGATACCTTGATGCTGAGTTCAATGAGAAATGCAAAGTCCAGTCGCCAGGGCTTACTGCAGCTGATTTCCGGTTTCTGAGTGAATTCAATGTTGCTGCTGCTATTTTGGGCCCTGCTGTTGATGAGCAGAAAGCCAATGAAGCATTGCAGAAAGCCGAAGTTCAAAAAGCAGTGGCTCGATTGCAGAAGGAGGAAGGAAAATTCCAAGAGTTTGTCGAGAAGCTTGAGACCTTCAACAAGGTGGGCTTGGGATTGCGAGCAGAGCTTGTGGAAAAGCAGAAAGAAAATCAAAGGCAGACTGTTGCTGCACACCAGGAGAGTGTGTATCCTGTGAGGGATCTCAATGAAGTGGGACATGGAACCACATTCTACGAGGCCTCCTTTCACCGTTTCCTTTCAGAGCAGGAATTGGTTCGGTCAGATTCAGGGCATCAGCTGAAGGTGTACTGGCTCAATTCCAGCACGCTGGGTTATGATGCTGTGAAGAACACTGTCTTGGCAGTCAAGGAGTACAGTGGTCTCATGGCATCCAAGCCAAAAGATTCCTGTCTCATTTTGGCTTGCCCCACAGTGGGGCCATTTGGCAACGAATATGTTGAAGATGAGATTGTATCACTGCATGCCAAACTGCTGGAAGTCTTGCGAATGCCTGAGCATCGCTTGGTGGTGCGAGAAGTGATGCTCATGTTTGACTTTGGCAGCTTTCCCCAGCAGTCCGGCAGACCTGCAGTGCACAAGTTCTACATGGCTGTTTCTGATTTGCGGGATACTGATGGAGAGTATCTGAGCGTCTTTGCGAAAAGTCCTGTTTGGAAGCGCCAAGTGATTCCAGCAATGAAGGATGTTGCTGTGCTCATGAACCCAGTGAAAAGCTTTGTGGACCCGAGACGGGACTTCTCCACGGCAGCTGGCTCATTCGACCTGAGCCGTCCATCAAGGCGCAAACAGTGGCTGAGTGGTTGGAGTGCTGCCTCTGCTTGGCTGCAAGGCCTTCTGGTAGGGATGGGTTTTGACAAGTCCACCCCATGCACAGTGATCGATTCATTTGCGTATGACCATTCCATGGCAGAGGCAATCATGCGACTCTCATCCAACAGCAAGCTACCAAGTTTCCTTTATGTTGGTTTGGTCTGGGCGGAAGCCAACACACGTGAGGCTGGTGGGGCTGACAAAAGGGCTGACTCACTCAAGGTTGCAACCTGGCTCTCAGTGGCAATCAAGCGAAGAATCCAGGCCTGTGCCACAGAGGGCATCATTGTTGTTCCAGGGTGGGAGCCAGTTTCATCTTGGCAAGAGACCCGGGTGATCCCAACACTTGCCTCTACAGACTTCACGTGCTGTTTTCCATCTGCATCCAATGAGCTTCCCTTGCGTGCTACATTCCTCAAGGCCATGGAGGAGAAGCTGTCAATCCCAGAAGTCCAAGAAGAATGGCAGAATGTCATCAAAGCACACAATGCAAAATTCAACAAGGCAGGAGTTCCATATTCTGGAGAAGGATCTGGACCAAATGCAGCAGGGACTGAGGGATCGGAAGGGAACACAAGACAGAAACGCAAGCTTGATGTGGTGGAAGAGCCACCGCAAGGAAACAAGTTTCTGAAGCTCGAGCATCATGGCAAGGGCAATGCTATCTTTGATGTGGATGGCAATGTTTGGTTTCAGGCCAAGGATAATGCAGATGCTGCATTGGACCATGACGGACCACCTATTGCCTTGATCTATGGGAACTTCAAAATCCAACAGGCACAGTCACAGTTGATCCGAGCATATGATACTTTTGAATATTTCTGGTTACTTACTCAGCCATCATGATTCATGATTGTCATGTAAGTTTCCACATCCAAAAATATGATACTTGTGAATGTTTATGGTTACTTACTCAGTCATCATGATTCATGATTGTCATGTAAGTTTCCACAGGAAGCTGAAAAGCTCCTTGAGACGCAGAAGGATGATGTGATGATGATTGGTTTCGAGGATGATGAGAGCAAGGGCGTCTTCCGTATGCAGCAAGAGCCACAAGGAACTCTCTGTTCCCTCAGGGATTTTTTGCTCAAGCTGGAGAAGGATGGTTCAGATGTCACAACACTTGATCTGGCATGTCACAAGATCGAGCCCCAAGTGAACAAGGAGAGATTTGCAGTGCTTTATTGAGATGTTTGTGATAGTGCTGTATCAAGATGTTTGTGATTTTGATTAGGCATTTCAATTGTGAAATTGTTTTAACTGCTGCTGCAACCTTTTGACCAGGATGAGGCGGGTGATGTGCAGAGTCGAACCTTCAAAGTGACGAAGACAGGGCCCTGTGTATTTGTGCCAGCAGAGACGCCCCGAAAGATTGCAAGTGCCAAACCTCCAACCTGGGAGGATGCTGGCAGCCTGGTTTGTGCATCAACCTCGAAGACACGAAGCACTTTTGGACCTGGATACACCAACAAGACTTGTGTGCTTCAGGTCACGCCACGATGGCTTGTCAGCAACAATGCACAATCCTTCTCTTTGACTCCTGAGAAGCCAGGACTCTTTGTCTCTGAGGATTCAGTTGTTCCTGCTGGCAAGGTCACCAAGCTTGTGTGAGATGCACTCAGGATTTTGGAAGAGCTGACAACCAGCCCAGACAAGACAGCCTAGATCCGAGAGCTGCCGAGCAAAATACCAGTGCTGATCTCCAAGGGTGGGTCATGCTTTGATTTGCTACAATTGAAATTCACTAAGTTTTAGTCAACACCATTTCATGTCATATTATCTTGCTATTTGCCCACAGCAACCGTTAACCTTTCACCATTGCCATTGCCTTGTTGCTCATCATTTCCTGATGGTCAAATCTTGCTATTTGCCCACAGCAGCCTTTTCAGCATCCATTGCCTCGTTCTGTATCGTCACTTGTTCTGTAATCGTCATGGCTAGCTTTTTGGCGGAAAGTGGCTTAAATATGGATGACGTTGACTGGATGGCAATGGATGACGAAGATTCAAAGCAGATTCGCTCAGAACCGCCAGCAGCCTGTGATGATTGGAGTTGGAGCACAGAAAAGAAAGAAGAGCCATTGCAAGGAGACAAGCAGCAATGCCTGGGCAAAATGTTTCAGGAGAATCCTGGGGCAAACCGCCCTGTCGCTGATGGCAGCATGGCTTGGGCAGACTGGGCCAACCCTCGTGTTGCTGATCCTGCTCCTAGTCTTGGAGACCGTCCTCGCAAGGCATCTCGCCTCAGTGCATCTCAAAAGACTGCACTTGAGAAAAGCGCTGCAGCAGCACATGCTTTGGCCAAAAAGGCTGCTGATGAGAGCGAGATTGCTTGCCGCCGCTTGGCTGCAAATGCTGCTAAGCAGAAGGAGGAGACCAAGGTGCGTCAGGCAGGGCACCCAGAGAAGTTGGATGACAACTTGACAAAAGATGAGAAGAAGCCAAAGGATGATGTGAGCTCTGAGAAGAAGCCAGGGAATGATGTGAGCTCTGAGAAGAAGCCAGGGGATGCTGTGAGCTCCACCCCAATGCCAGCTGGTCAGAGTGGTGGGGGCAAGCCCGTTGCTGATGCTGAGAAAAAAAGGGCTCCAAGGAACACAATGGGCACCTTTGCTGGCTACAGGCCACCTGCAGATCCAGAGATGCTGGAGTTGTTCAATCTCAAGAAGGAGCTCTATGGCAATTCAAGGGACGAGATTGAAAAGATGTTTCCAGGTCGCAAGGTTGCTTTTGGCCGTTCTGTGTCTCAAACGGAGTACTACAACTTCCTGAAGAAGAAGATCAATGCCCTTCCCAAGAGTCCCAAGCCAACTCAGGCAGATGTGCGAGCTTGCATCAAGCAGGCCAGTGCTCAGTGGAGGGACAATGTAGCCAAGGCCTTCAAGAAGTAGTTTGGCTGCGACCATCTAGCTAGGGATTTGCTTGTCTGTCCATCAGACAGCATTTGTCTTTTGACATCAGTTTGAAACATCTGATGCATGGGGACACTTTCGTAGCAGACCATTTGCGGGAGAAAAACATGCAGGGAATTTGCAAAACTTTATGGCAAACAGCATGGATGATGATGTGACAGGGTGAAGCAAAAAGTCAACACATGTGCCCCCACAATCCACACAGAGAATCATAACATGGCCAATTCATGCCAATTCACTTTGACAATAAATAACACTGCGTTGATTTTGATTTTGATTTTGATTGTCAGAGCTTCACCCAACTTCAATTTGCATGCAAGATTTTGGATCAAGGGTTCAATGGCAACTGGTGATGCATCCTTGGACCAATCCTGCTGTAGCTGAAGCTGATGAGAAAAACACATTGGATTGGCTGAACCCGGGTGTTGCTACATCATCCTCAAGTTTATCTAGCCCTTCGTTGCCTGACTGGTTGAATACACCTGTGGCAGTCAAAAGAGCATGTCCTTCAGGGGTGTCCAACCCCAAGCTGAAACAAGCCCATTGGCTGAATCCACAGGTCGACAGCAAATTTGATTTTACACCAAGATCAGGTGCAGTGCCAGAGCCGAAACCTTCAGGTCCAGAGATTGACTTGACTATTGGCTCCGCATTGCTTGTTCTTGGGGAAGCAGAGCACGTTTTGAAACAAGAGGATCTTCCAAAGGAAATCGTTCAGAAGGTGCACCATTCTTTGAAAAACCCATGCCGGCATGGGAAAGGGAAAAAGGGTTGCACTGCTTGTCAGCCACCTTGGAATGCATCTGACGCTGTGGCCTTTGTTGCCTTGTGGCATTCAATGAAAAGAGATCAAAAAACAATTGTGTTGAACACTTTGTATGAGCAAGCTGGCTCACATGCAAGCAGCCGAGTATGTGTAAAGTTCCTGGGACGGCGAATCTGTATTTCCCACTTGTGTGAAATTTTGCAAACAGCGCCACGGACCTTCTACAAGCATGCAGGTGGCAATGCTGATGGTCGTACAACAAATGGAAAGACTGTGACAGATTCTCGAATTTCAGTTGATATGTTTTTTTACAATCTGTATCATACCGCAGCTGAGTATCTACCAGAACATGAGTTCCAGCTGAATGATGTTGACTCACAAATTGAGGCAGAGCAAAGTGGTAAAAGTGATGCTGCAGTACAACAATGTTTCCAGACAGAGGGCCTTTTGCCACTGCTTGGGCAGGATCCTGAAAAACAAATGCTGAACAGCATTGCTGCCTTTGCTGGTGGTAACCAGCTTCCTGTCCGGTACATACAGCATCAACGTGTTGTTGATCTTTGGATGCTCTATCTTGGCTGGGGTAGCACTGACGACAAAAAGGCGTCATGGAGCACTTTTTGGAGATGCTGGATCTCAACATGGTTTCATTGCCTGAGGCTTCGTAAACCTGCCCAGCACTCTCAGTGTGATGTGTGTTTCAAGGCCTCCCAGTTCATACATTGTTCAAAGGCTTCATTTCGTGAAAAGCAAGCAGTTGCCAAACAGTGGAGGGAGCATCTCAGATCTCAATATCAAGATCGTGTTGTTTACTGGTGCCTTAGGTACCAAAGCAAGCAACCACAGAGTGATGTCCTTTCTATAATAATAGATGGGCTGGACAAATCGAAACTCGTATACCCATCCTATGGTTTTATCAATGGTGCTCCCAAGCTCCTTGACAAATTCCATCGTCCTCGCTGCTGCATCCACTTGAATCTCTGTCATGGATACAGTGCAGATTTTTGGGTGACAGAGGAGGAGGGCATGGTGCATGGAGTGTCATTTGTGATGGAAACCTTGGTTCGATCACTGGCCCACATCAAGCAGTTGCGGCGTCAGCAGGGCTTGGAGCTGCCAAAACATCTTTGTCTCCAGTGTGACAACACTGTTGCACAGGCAAAAAACGCAGAGGTGGTCCTAGGAATGGGAATGTTGGTTCGGCGTTTTGCCTTTGACACAACTTCCTTGTGTTTTTTAAGGAAGGGGCACACACACGAGGATGTTGATTTTGTATTCAGCATCCTGCTGAGCAAGGTCTTGAGGAAAACCAAGATGAAAACTCCACAGGATCTGGTCAACAGCATCAGTGCCATGGAATCCTTTCTTGCAGAAAAGGGTTACAAAATACGATCCATGTTGCTTACCCACTGCCGGGACTTCAAACCATGGCTTGCCAGCTACGGTTGTACCCCCTACAATTGCTTTTTGCCCAGACAAGGAGCAGAGTGCCCGCACTCTTTCACTTTCAAATGTCGGATGGATTTGAGCCGTCAAGAAATGGAGGAGGTGACAAAGAATGAGGCACAAACACAGGTCCAGGAGAAGAATGACTTGGACATTTTCTGTGTGACAAAGGCGTTTATGGCAAGCAGAGACAGCTTTGCACCAGTCCTCCTCATCCCACACACAAGGGCCCATCAACTTCCAGCAACTCCAAGCACGTCATGTGAAGTGGTCATGGCAGACAAGCGCAAGGCAGACCTGCTCAAATTTGCATCTGAGCTTGAGAAATTGTCTGCAGATTGGGGACCAGAGCATTCATTTTTTCGAGCAGCAGCTGAAATCAGAATCCTGGTTCGTGGAAGACAAAGAGAGCCTTCTCAAGATGGGTTCCTTGAAAGCCTGGTGGCTGCAGTGGACAGAAGGATTCCAGTGCCACTGTTTGACAGCCCTTTGTACAGCCACTTGCCAAATTTCTGGCGAATGATGGTGCGCTTCAACCGTTAAAACATGGCTTGCAGCAGCAATGCATGGCAGTACATGTTGTTCTTGGCTCATGGGGAAACATGCATGGCAGTCCATGTTGTTTTTGGTTCATGGGGAAACAGTTTCAAGTGATCTTGCAGTGAATCTATGTGTCAGGCATGCAAGCTCACATTACATCACGTCCTGTAGTTTTTGGTTTACAGATAGCTGTGCATCATGACTGATGCTGCAGAGCCTTTGTCCTACCATGGCTTCACAGTGGAAAACATTTTGGCCGATCCCCAGTTTCAAACTTTGGACCGCGACTTGGATGTCATCGAAATTTTTGCTGGTGTAGCTTCTATACACCGTGCTGCTGAGAAGGCAGGTTGTGCTTCAGCTGCTTTCGACATACTTCGTGTTCCAGGGCAAAGTGACTGCACAGGTGAGGAAAGTGAAGATTTTTCTTGCAAGCAGGGCTTTGTCAATGCCATCAAGCTGGTGATGCGGTTGAAAAAAAATGGGTTGTGCTTCCTTGCCCCTCGCTGTGGTCCATGGATGTGGTTGAACGTAGTGAAGACCAAAAGAAAAAAGGCCAACAAGTATTTTGGTGACCCAAGCTACTGCAAAGAAGCAAATGAGATGGCTATTGGGGCTATCATCTTGATGCAAGTGGCAGAAAAACGTGAGGCAGAAATTGCTCTGGAGAACCCTGTCAAGTCCTACATTTTCCACTGGCCACCTTTCACAGAGGCAATGATGGAGATGAACATGCATTCTGCTGTGACTCACCGATGTGCTTGGGAGAACAAAAAGAAATTGAAACCCAAAATTTGGAAGAAGTATCGCTTCATTGCCAGTGGTGATTGGATCAAGGCTGTTGATCGTCCGTGTCCTTGCGGAGACAGACATCATTTGCGAACAAGCAAAACTACTGTGGAGAATGGGGTGAAGAAGATCACTGGCATAGCTTCAAGGTTGAAAGAG